CCAGAGCAGCTTACTCAATATTCATCTTTGCATTTTAAAGGGGAATTGCTGTTTTACAGTGGTCTAGAAGGAAGCACATGATGAAGGGAGGTTGAGAGGCACTTCATATAAAGAATAATGAATTGTTCTGGGAATCACTTATTCCAGAACAAAAAAACTAGTGGAGATTTAATTGCTATGTTGAATATGAATGGCTTTTTATGTAGAAGTGACAAGCCACTCCCTGTCACAAGCAGTGGTCATACAGAGTTAAGATGACCACTTGTCATCGGTGCTATACAGGGATGTTCTAGACGTGTAAAGAAGGCTCCTGGTTTCAGTGGGAGGATGGACAAAATTACTTCTGTGATTCCTTCCAATTCTGCTTCAGTCAGTGTACTACTAAGGGAAATTTCTAAAAAATACAGGTATATCCTTCACTAACAAAATCCCAAATCCAGCAGGCCCTGAGTGACTCACTCTGCCTGCTTGGATTGACTGACTGGGGACTCCTGTTAGGTGAGAATAGGGGTAGTTTAGGCTTAGGCTCTTTAGGCAATTAACTTAAAAGCAGCTCCATCTCTATTAGCTTTTAACTTGGTTAACATTTTACTGCTCATTCTTAAGAACAAAGATAAGCTTAAATATTTTATTTGAAATTCAGATTGCACTGCAGAAAGATAAGTATGGCAAGCTTTAAAGTTTACAACATAAAACATGTTGAATTATCATTTATTTTTCTTTTTTCACCTTCTTTCTTTTGATTTCCCTGCCATTAATGGAATAATTTAAGACTTTTCTTGTATGTAATAATAAACTCAAAACCACAGGCCTTTAATATATGCAATATAATTTATGTTCATGAAACTTATAAAAATACTTTATTACAGGAGGTATTTTACTGGTGTTTAATTTCAAATTTGTAATCTTTTCCCTTTTTTATCTGCTGCTGAAAAGAGGTTCAAGGTAATCCTCTCTTTGCTATGCTTACAAGGCCTAATTTTGTCATCGGTATATTTACCATTAATGAGCTATGTTACTTGGTGTTCTTTACCTCTGTTCACAGTTTTCCACGCTTTTTTCCTTTGGAATTAGTATCCTTGAAATAAATAGCATCTTAATTGCTGGCTTACACTATAAGTAACTGCTTTACTAAAACTGTACCTGTTCAACATGTATAATTTTGTAAGTTGTATAATTCCATTTGAAGAAATAATATACATTATATAAAGAGCTTTATAAAAATTAAAATATGCTTAAGAGTTACATAGGATTATACAGAATAAAAATTACCTATTTATTGTTCGGGTTACAATTAAAGCTGTCAGACAGTAACATTGAATAAAGTTCATCAACAAAATTGAATTGGAAGAAAAGCCAGTGCTCTATCATTCTTTGAAATGGTTCTAGCAGAAATATTTTTAAATGTTAAATATTAGGAATTCATTTCTTTTTACTTATGAACATTCAAAAAAGTATATGAAGAAGATTTAAAACCAAAATTTCTATGATAACTTGAAAAGTTGCTTATATATTTTGATAAGGACATTTGCTTTTTATGACACCAGTCATGCTTATGTAGTCTACATGCTGCTTCATATTATATATGAAAACCCACATTTATTTTATATTGAATGTTTAAGATACAAAACACTTCATTTACTTTTTATAGATGTATAACTTGATAATCATTTTGAAAATGTAAGTATATTTTAATCCCTTTAATGTTATGAAACTTATTCATAAGTGTTGGAATTTTTTCCACAGGAAAGCTAATTTTTATCATTTCCCGATTTAGTTGTTACAAATTGAATATTAGCTTATAATTTGGGGAGGAATTGATGCATGATTGATTTACATTCAATGTTTGGGTTATTAAATATTTGACTAACAGTTGAGATAAAAATAATAAACTAAATGATTTTTTTTAATTAATGAGTTTTAGAGAAGAGCTTCCACATTTAAATAGTTCAAAATGTGAACTCTCTACACCTATTGGGATATGGGACATTGTAAATAGATCCTGAACAGAGAGAAGGGGGCTAGATTTCAGAGCTCCTATGTAAGTAAAGTTGATAAATGTTTAGTAAACAGTGAGAATAAGGGAAGAGGAAGAGTTAGAGGCAATAGTAATAGTAATTATTTTTTACAGAGTGTTGTATGGTTTACAGTGCTTTGGACTGTAAAATATCTCCCTTGAGTATTAATGAGTGATTAATGGCAATGCCATTAATCAGTACTAGGGAATTTAGGAAGTAAAGAAGGAAGAGCATGGAGGAACAGGTAATAAGCACAAATCTGAATTCAGATGTGATTTATGTTGCCAAGAGTATAGATAGTTCATAGAAACATGGTCAAAATTCAACTTCAAGGAGAATGTGTTGAGCACCTGCCATGTGCAAGATGAGTAATAATCCAGACTTTGTTAGTGCACCCATCAAGAAATTTTTGGGTATGTTAATTTGTTTATAAACAGTCTACTCTTATGCTGTTATATTATTTATACTATAAAGCATACCCCAGAGAAATGTAAAATGAATAAAAGTTTTAATATTTTCTTTCCACCTTCCTGCTTTAGAAGCTATCAAGATATAGAAAGCAGTCTAGTGAAACACAGAATGGGTTCATTTGGGGGAAGGTGTGACAGACACCTCTCTGGAGGGCAGATGTGGGAGGCTCAGTGAAGGCTCCAAGTGCTGTGTGTGTTTCCTCCTTCCCCCTTCTCTGTTTCAGGCCCCCAGTGAGCAGGGCCCCGCCACAGCCAGAGAAACTCCAGACAAACAATGTCGGCAAGAAAAAGAGACCCATAGAGGTGAGGAGGCCCTACTTCCAGTGCTACTAAAATGTATCCAGAGTTCCTTTTTATAAAACACCCAAGTGTTGTCATTAATTTTCATGAAGTTAAGTGTATTGAATAATCTTTATTGTATGATGATAAAAATTGATTGCTTAACTCTTACCCAAGTTTGAGTTTTGGATTGATATATTCTGTTTTTCTTAATTTTTTTTGATTAGTCTCTCTCTTACTTTTCCACAAATAAGACCCTGAATTGACGTATCTCAGAGGACTTCTCCCATCCATGTACTAACCAGGCCCATCCCTGCTTAGCTTCCTGCTTAGCTTCCAAGATCAGACAAGATCAGGCACATTTAGGGTGGTATGGCCATAGGCAGACTTCTAAACATAAATATAAATGAATACCTATTACTTACAGATGCACAGACACCTTGGCATTATCTTATAAATTTAAACCACTAAGTAGTGTTTAAATTTATACAGTAAAGATTAAATACTTATACCAAATTGGGAACTTTGACCTCGTATGATGTATTCACTGTATAGGGTTCATTAGACTGTTTCTCCTCCTGTCTCTGCTTCCAGTCAAAGAAACCTTCTGCAATACTTGAAGAAGAAGGAAGGTTCTCCAGGCATTTTATATTTCCAGTATCAGCAGCAAACAAGCAAACTGTGCTAAATCAGGCATAAACAAGGTGTAAAGCTGTGGGAGAGTGATTTTTGTAGCTCCCTCCCCTACCCAGCCCTACAAGGTCAATGAAAATGGACACTTGCATTGCAGAGTTATGTGCCAGAACTTTAGCATGAGTTGTCAGAGACAGTATACGTAGTTTTTGTCCAACAATGCAGAATGTACTGTTTAGATTCTTCAAAGTATGTGACTTGGACATAATTTATCTTGAATTATATATCCAAATCAGATATTTTGACTAACAACACAAATTGAAAAATTCTTCTTTTGGACACAAGAAGGATAGTTGTCCCTCAGTGTCAGTGGGGAGTTGGTTCCAGGATCTCCTTGTGGGGTACCAGAATCCTCGGATGCTCATCTCTCATATAAAATGGCATAGTATTTGCATATGACCTACACACATCCTCCTGTATACTTTAAATCCTCACTAGATTACTTATAATACCTAATACAATGTAAATTTTATGTAAATATTCATTACACTGTATTGGTTTTTTATTTGTATTATTATTATTATTTTTTTTTTTTTGCATCGGTGGCCGGGGGGTGGGAGGGGGTTCCGGTGAGGACTAGAAAACCTGCTAGACAAATTTTAAAAGAGTTGTAACACTATTTTTTGTTGTTATGATTTTTTATTGTTTTTTTTCCCAAATATTTTTATCCATGATTGATTGAATCCTCAGATGTGGAGGATCAACTGTATCTCAGTTTTTAACACGTGCAATCTTAATAACTAAGATTTTTGGAATCATATTATCTTGTGATTCCATTTTTCTTTTTGCAACTTTATATAGAAAAGTGGAATGTATATTTCAGCTGCCCCAAATAAGTTACATAGAGAAGTATGTCTGGCTTAATTTTGTGTTTGAAGTTTGTAAAACATTGAAAATGCATCCTCCATTTTGACTGAAGACACTAGTACTACGTATACAACAAAATCATGGTGAATGTGTAGACATGAGGAAGAGTATAATTTTTTAAGGTAGTAATTAAAACTACCCAAACAGCCAATTTTATTAATATTGCATTAAAAATAGTCTAAATTTAACACTATAATGTTTTTACAGAAAGCCAACATTTGAACAACCTTCCATCATTCGAATTGTGTTTTATGAGATAAAAGGTTTTGATTTCTAAACTGGTGTTATTTATATCAAAAAGCTTCCAAAAAGAGCAAAATAACTGTTAAGACATAGGGTTTCGTTCATTTTCTCAGTGGACAGTAGACATTCTAGTGATCTTTGGAAGTACGGTAATTCTGCAAACATTTAAACTCCAATTGTTGGGAATCCTTTATTTATGATAATCACACCCAATATAGGCAAGTGCAAATCAGTCCTTATCCTTTCATTAGCACTGAGGGAAAAAGACAGAGCTACTGTCCAACTACAATATAATAAATCCAGAAACACAATAAACCTACTCTAAATGTTTCAGTTCTTAGAACTGCAATATTAACCCAACGGGTATTTTGAGGTTTCCTTTGCTGTTCTCACTAAATGTTTGACAGTTAACCAAAAAAGCACCAAGAACTTTATGTTAGTACTACCGTGGACAGAATCAAAGTGTTTACTTATATAATCTTTCTCCAAGCATTAAAATTCCCTATGTGCGGTATCTGTCAGAGTTGGGAGGGGAAAAAAAAGCCCTATATGGTAAGTAATAAAACACTGCTATAATTTAGGCAAAAACTAAATGTTGCCATTTCATGTAAGACAAAAAATGATTACTGAAGAAATAAAGTTTATAAATTTATTTAGTTATCGCATTCACTCTAAAGTCCAGTTTTCTCATTGAACACATATATTGAGTGAAACATTTCATCAGTTTTTGTCTACCAGCTTTTGTAGGTCCCAAATAAAAACATTTGTTAACATGACTCAGCATAAATGTCTTCACCTTTTCAGTCTAAAATGTACTCCCAAGCAAATTGTTTTAAGACTATATAGAGGAAGAATATAATTGTATAATGGTTTTTTTTATTATTATTATTATAGGACCTTGTGTTGGAGCTTGTTTTTGGTTATCGAGGCAGAGATTGTAGGAATAATGTTCACTATTTGAATGATGGTGATGATATAATTTATCACACTGCATCCATTGGAATTCTACACAATGTTGCTACAGGTAGGAAACCCTGGTTCTCTACCCACCCTTTCTAAATTTTTATCTAACAGCTTAAAATTCTTTGTTAAAACTATAAATAATAGTTAAAATATGTAAGAGAACAGTCCAGAATAAAAATGTTTCATATTTAAGAACTTCCTAGTAATATTTCCAGTGACCAAATTTTAGTCCTAAGAGAGTATAATACAACAGAAAAGGATTTCATAGTGCAAAATGCCCACAGGTCTCTATTAGAAGTGAAGGTTGACTGTATGTTAAAACCATGTTTTATAGTTAAACATTTGTAACTTTAATTCTGTTTCCCCATAACCTCATAATGTGAATGGATGGTTGTCTCTGATAGTGATTGAAAGTAACATGTTGGGTGAGTGATTGTTGGGATCGGGGGGTGTTCTTAATAAGGCCTTGGAAAGCCAAGGAAGAAAGTTAAGAAAGCTGCTTGTCTGTGGCTCTACTGATGATACCTTGTTTGATCCAAGAAGGTGAGAAAATATTTCTTGATGTTTATTTAATTGACTGGACTGTTGAAGAGCAAATAAAAGTTCTCTTAGCATCATTCAATGACCAATGTGATGATCCTGTTAACATTAAGTATTTAATTTTGAATTGTTTTATTACATATTATTGCAAACTCCATAAAGCGAAAGTTGGAAGTGAAAATAGAGGTTATCTATTCCAGACATTTCTGGCTTTTCCTCCAGTAGCTTCACTGTGAATGGGTAGAGTGGATTGATTATGTGAATCATAATCCCCCACCTCTGGTCAGTATTAATCATTAATATAATCTTTCTATTTTGCTTTTCTAAAGAAAAGGATTCACCAGGATACACAGAAATCAGTGGCAATTTTCTTTTCTTTTCATTTCTTTTTTTTTTTTTTTTGAAACAGAGTCTCACTCCATTGCCCTGAGTAGAGTGCCGTGGCGTCAGCCTAGCAATCCTCCTGTCTCAGCCTCCTGAGTAGCTGGAACCACAGGCGCACACCACGACGCCCAGCTAATTTTTATATTTTTAGTAGAGACGGGGTCTCACTCAGGCTGGTCTCGACCTCCTGAGCTCAAGCAATCCTCCCGCCTCGGCCTCCCAGAGTGCTAGGATTACAGGTGTGAACCACAGCGCCCGGCCAGCTCCAATTTTCCATTTAGTAGGTTGGGCCATTTTAAAAGTACTACTTAGAGAGAAAATCCTTTTTAATTGAGGCTTCACATATCCTTCAAACAGAATGGGGAAGAGTAAGATAAGACAAGCAAGAAAGGAATGTATGTGTAAATAAACTCTCACATTTATACTTGTAATTTTATTTTTAATTTTCTGATTTGTAATTAATCACTTTCTAATGGAGGGATATTGAGAGAGAGGATAGCGGAGAGAATAAGTACCTGCTCCAGTTCTGATTATTTAGTCTCTCACCAGTTTGGGGATACATCGCTATGTTCATAGTCTAGGAAGTCTATATCTATTAGCTGATCTTCTACCAGTTTAGCCAACAGCACATGTAATTACTTGTTTGTTCCTTTAACTGAGCTCTCAGCCCTGGAAAATAAGTACATTTCACTTTGAAAAGAAGTTTTAAAGCAATTATTAGCTCTGTTAAACATAATCATTGAAATTTTTTGTTTTTATTTTGCTTTTTGGAGGATTCTCTATAATCTGGATCCAACCTACTGCTCTGACCTCATTTTCCACGTCTTCATTTTACTTCATTTTACCTTTATTACTTCCTGCATGGACTACTGTCATAGTCTTACAAGGTCTCTTCACTGTCACAACTGCTAGATGAATCACATTACTTCTTTGATCAAAAAAGTTCAGTGCCTCCCCTACTGACTAAAGATTAAATGTAAAAGTAAATATGGCCCAATTCATTAAATAGAAACCACTGGTTTCTGCGTGACCCTGGTGAATCCTTTAGAAAACCAAAACAGAAAGATCATAGGCTGGCATTCAAAATCCTCCATAATTCTAGTCCCAACTTGTCTTTCCAACGATATTACTCAGTTTTCTTTTTCATGACCCTACACTACAGCCAAATGAGCCATTTATATGCATACCCAACACTTTCCTGCCTCTGTGTCTTTGCTTAGTGTTCCTCTACCTGGAGTGCCCTTCCCCACCCACCTTCACATTTACAAAATCTATCCAGGTCAGCCCAGGAATGCTATATTCCCATGATGAGAATAATCTTTTCTGCTCTGAATCCTCATGGTATTTTGATGCCTAACTCTCTTGTGACACGTGGTATTATATGGTTTATTCCTTTTAGGGCTCTATCCCATTAAAGACTTCTGACTCATTTTTCTATCGTTATGGTGATGTACACATAGTAAGTGATGAAAAATGTGTATTGAATAAGTTAATAAGTTAAAGAGTAGTTTATTGCTCTGGATAAGTGCATTTGTCTGTTACATCTTAAAGTTTTAAGTTAATTCTCAAATTCTTTTTTGTAGGTTCTCAGAGTTTTTATCAGGAACATAATGATGATATTCTGTGCCTCACTGTGAATCAGCACCCCAAATTTATCAACATAGTGGCAACTGGCCAAGTAGGTATGTTTCTATATTTTAAAAAGAAACAATTTGAAGCATTTGCTTTGTTCAAATAAATTCAGTATCCTAGGAAAAAATTAAAATATATTCATGGATTGTTCAAAATCTATGTGTATATAAAACACACACCCAATTATACCATATTATTTCTTCCAAGTACCTTTCTCTCATTCACTTTGATTATCTGAAATGGTTCACACGATTTGGATTTAAAATAAACTATTGTATGATGGCTGAAATAGTTGGACTTAGTCCTTTAGCAGGAATTTCTGGTCAGCAAAAAGGTTTAATTCAGTAGCATCTAAAGCAGGAAAGGATTTGAAGAGGAAATGGTAAATAAGTGGAGCCATGAGGTGACTGGACCCGGAGGGGCAGGACCTGCTTCCACAGAGGTCAGGCTAGAAAGAAGGGGGAACCCATGTCTGCTTCATTCCTTCTGCCCTTTTCTTTTCTTTGGTGTTGATTTAATTTCACCAACAGTTTTAAACTATTTTGAAATACCCCTGTCTTCTTTTACCTCTGTGAAAAACAAAGGCCATAACTTCACAAAACAAACTAATGAGAGGATAGCAGGTTTTATTTAGGACATATCTGCCAACCCATGATCACGATGAATACAGCATAATAGATTTGGTCAGTCACATCTTCACAACTCTGGTATAGTTTGTGAAAATTATTAAAATCAATGTGTTTGTTGGATCTCAGTGGGCCTTGATTGCTCAGCTAGCTTTCCAGGTGTCTTGTCTTTCTTCTTGACTAAGATAATTTATGCTTTTAATATCTTCATTTTCACGCAAGTACTCAACTGATCAGTTGGGAACTTGTTCTCTGGGTAGCCTGGTTCTACAGCTATACCATATAGACCCTCATATTTTTCTTTTCTGTGCAGTTTTCTACTTTTAAAAGTTAATAGATTATTATTTCACCCATTATATAGAAGATATTCCACTCTTTAAATATATAGGTCTAGCCTCTGTTCGCACTAAGTTTATTGAAAGTGATGTCCTGTTTTCACTCTGCACAAGGAATGAGGCCCATCTGCTTGAGGAATGAGAGACCATGTAGTTTAGTGCCTCTTGGTACATAGTTATTATTTAGTTAATTTTTTTGAGTAAATTCATTTATTCAAGGAACTTACTGAACACCTGCCATGTGCAAGGTACTGTTCTAGTTGCTGGGGGTACAAGCAGCTTACAAAAGGACAAAATCCCTGTATTAACGGAATTTACATTCTGCAAATAGAATTCTAGAAGGTATGGTTCCTTTAATTCCCAACTTTTTTTCTTCTCCTCTTCTTTCCTCTCCCTCTGTTAAGCAACTTTATTTATCATATTAATATAACCTTCCAGAGAATAGATACAAAAATGCTTTACTGATGACTAATTAAGATAGACTCAAGGGAAGACCAAAGAATGAGGGAAGGACATTCTTTTTTCTCTTCTGAACATAAAGAGAATTGTGTTGGTAGTTACTTTGCTGTCAAGCTTAATACCCACAAAGCACAAAGCACTGTTTTAAAAGTTTATTATTATTTTTGTTAAAAATAATATAGATCATAGAGGAACTGAAATATTTGATATTGTGGTATTTTAGCTAGTTACATCCAAACTTATCTTTTTTTGTAGCTAGAATCTTAGACTCTCAAGGTCCAAACATACCATTTTATCCTGTCCATCATTATGTGCTTGAACCTCACCACCACTTAGTGCCTAATGAAGTAACCTAACTTCTTCCTATGAAGCTCAGTCATAAAGTGGTTCTTCATATGGAGCAGAAATCTGTCTGTGCTTGCTACTCATTGGTTCTCGTTCTTGGGGTACCTAGAACATCTAATCATTCATTCCCATGACATTATCTTCCAGTTTTAGAAACAACTATCTAGCTGGGCATCCTGGTACATGCCTGTAGTCCCAGCTACTCAGGAGGCTAAGGCAAGAGGATCACTTGAACCCAGGAGTTTGAGGTTGCAGTGAGCTGTGATGATGCCACTGCACTCTACCTGGGGCAAAAAAACAAAAACGGCCCAAAAAAAAAAAAAAAAATAAGAAAGAAACAACTATCATATTCTCTCTGAGTTTTATCTAGTTCTTCTTTTTTGGAAGGCCCACCTTGGACATTCTCTAACTATATTCCATGGAACAAGGTATACATGAGAGCACAGGGATTTGCTTTCCATCAGGGAGCCTAACCCTCCAGTGGGCCATGCTTTGGGTATCTGAAATTCCAGAATTCTCTACCAAATGGTCCTGAACCTATTTTGGGGCCTGAATGAGGCTTTTCTGTGAATGAGGCTTTTCTGTGAGTCTGTACTCCCAATAGCAGACTACACAACCAATGTGTGTACCCTTGAGGGATGGCCAAGGGGTAGCTGTTCAATGGGTGGGGATGGATGGAGTTTTGATGTGCAAGCTGGAGTAACCACATGTCTTACTCAGTTTGAGTTGCCATAACAAATACCATAGACTGGGTGGCTTAAACAACAGAAATTTATTTCTCACAGTTCTGGAGGCCGAAAGTCTGAGATCAGGAAGCTAACGTGTCTGGGTTGTGGTGAGGGCCCTCTGCCCGGTTTGCAGATGGCCATCTTCTCACTATATTCTCACATGATAGAGAAAAATAGTATCTTTCTCCTGTTTCTTCTTGTACAGATACTAATCTCAATGTGAGGGCTCCACCCTCATGACCTAATGAACTCCTAATACCATCACACTGGGGATTAGGGTTCCAAAATATAAATCTAGGGGGGAATACAAACATTCAGTCTGTAGCATCACACATGAGTTTCCATGGCTCCTCGTGGTGTGGAATAGAGCTGGGGATGGGCAAAGAATGGGACAGGTTGTCTCATGCTTCCCAAAACTCCAAGGAGTTCTAAATTTTTACCAGGCTTTCTACATCATTATAGGGGCATACTCATCAAGATAAGAGGATAGAACATATTTCATTTGATAATTTTTATCTTGATTGATAACTTTAAAATATTTAGACCAATGGCGTTTAAGCTGTTGTTTGTACTCTTGTCCCGGACCCTATAGATATTCAGGCATAAGCCTGATCTCCAAACCAAATACTCCCTGTCTTTCAACCATTCTTCATGTGGCATAGTTTCAAGTCTTCTCACCATTCGGTTGTATCAGTGTGCTCAGAACTGAAAACAGCATTTCCTATGCGATCTGCTCAGCAAAGTCAAGTACTTTATTCTCTTTTCCCTCATGTTCCAGGTCAGGACAATATGGGCCTATGACATCCATATGTGCTTGAAATCATTATTTCTTAATAACATAAGGCTCTACCAAAGGCTTTTGTCTTTGTTAAAAAATACAATCACCTATCTTCAATGGATTCCCAAATTTTTGCTCCTTTCTTTCTTGCTCTAAAGACTGTCACTTTTAAAAGTTTGGTTCATAGATATTTCTACCACAAATATAATGAGCATAGGCTTTCACATTTTCTTTCTTGGAAAACTTTTACTCATATGGAAAATTTTTATTTAAAAGAAAGAACATTTTTTCTTTCTTTAGTTATGTGGTAACC